TTTTCTGTTTTAAAAACAGGTTAATAAAATAAACAACAATCTCTGGCAATTCTGACTAAGAAAAAGGAGAGACAATACAAGCAAGCATTAAAAAAATATATATAAGCACAGATACGCAGGTTAAAAAAATTGTAGAAGGATGCTATGAACTATTTTTAGTGAATAAAATTGAAACTCTAGATGAAGTGGGCAATTATCTGGGAAACTTTACATTATTAAAATTATCTGGGAAACTGTACATTTTCAACAAAAATGTAATTATCAAAATTGTTACAAGAGATAAAAGACCCAGTTAGATTAATGGCCATGGAAGAAATGACCCTGTTTTTGTCCAGACTTTTAACCAGTCTTTAAGACACATATAATTCTTGAATTATATAAATTTTTGTCTAATGAAGGAACATGTGGTGATCTTTCCATTCATTTTATGAGGCTAATATTACTTGATTTCAAGACTAGACAAGATAAATACATACAAAATGAAACTATATCCTAATGTCATGAATCTACATACAAACCATCTAAACAAAATATTAGCAAATTTAATCCAACAGTATATTAAAAGAACAATATACTGCAAACAAGTATAGTTTATAGCAGGAATGTAAGAGTGGTTCAGACTGAGGCCCAAAATGTTACTTTTAATGAGACAGTTTCTTTTTATTTAAAGCTCCTCATACTTTCGATTGCACGTGTGACTCTCATGCTGTGGTTACTCATAATAAGAAAGATTGTGAAACAGGACTCTGCACATTTTCCTACAGCTGACATTCCCTGTCTGGCAGAACAGTAGACAAAGAGAAAACATTGAAAGATATTGACAGCTACTCCTTATATTTGCTCAAGACAGTTGGAACCAGAGGGCCGCTTTATGAAAATTTGTTCTAACCTTTCGACAGGATGAAGTTTCCTTTGCCTTGTTGCCAGTTTGAGCAGAGCTGAAGGCTTTTCTGCCATTGAGTGTTTGGAAAGCAATAACTTTGAAGATTCTCATAATTGTCATTCTTCCAAATGTTTTATTAGGAATTGCCCTTTATCATATTGTCCCTTTAACATATGGCAAATACAACTAAATTCATAATATCTTATCTGCCTTCCGAGGGTAGAAATGAAAAACTGAACATCGCCAAAGGAAAATTTTAAGTGAAGAAATCTTAAAGGATATATACTGGCCTGGTCTGTTAGCTGGCTTTTGGATTTATGTCCCTTTATCTTTTTTAAATTTCTGTTTTAAAAATTTTAATAAATTTAATTTAATAACTGCAGCTACTAGTATTATAGCTAATATTTAATGAGTACTTACTATGTAGTAAGTGTTATCTCATTTAATCTTTATAATAACCAAATGAGGTAGTTACTGTTAACTCCATTTTACAGGTGAGGAAGAAGGCCTAGACAGGTTGCATACTTGCCTGAGGTTTCATAGCTAGTGAGGGACAGAACTGGATTCACACTCAGGCCTATATTCTGGTCCACCACTAACATTGCTTCTTAATCTAACAGTGATAGTCCCAGACCTCTTAAATTCAGTGGATGGAATTGTTTCAGTCATAAGTTGCTCTCATGTGTAATGACTAAGCTAATAACAAGTGATGATTAATCACTCTCGTACAATAATGACTAAGCTAACAACAACAAAACATTGTTTCCCACCTGTATCAAAGTATTCAAATAGCAGATTTGCTATGGTATGTTTACTGGTTATTTGCAAAGGTGTCCTTATCTAAACTAACATTAAAACATTTTTATCTGGGGCCGGCCCGGTGGCGCACTGGATAGTGCGCCGCTTGGGAAGCGCGGCGGCGCTCCCGCCCGAGGGTTCGGATCCCACATGCAGACTGGTTCCCGCTCACTGGCTGAGCGATGCGTGGGAGCAACACCGAGGATTGCGATCCCGTTGCCGGTCCCCGGTCCGGTACGGGGGCAACACTGAGGGTTGCGATCCGTTGCCGGACATGGAAAAAGACAAAAAAAAAAACAAAACATTTTTATCTGATAAAAAGTATCGTTTAGTTATTTTATAATTTTCTAAGATAAAATTAGATTCTTTTTTCTGAAATAATGTGTTATATCTAATGATGAAACTTATCCTGATTTAATAGATGCTTTTTGTGTGTTGTAAGAAAGCAGTCTAATTAAAAGGCATAGTTATCGGTAATTCTGCAAATAAACTTTTTGACTCAACTTTTTAAAAAAGCTTCTAAAGATTAGTGTTTTCCCACTTTTTTCTTTGTCTTTAACTGGGAAATAAATTATACAGCCAAAAAGAATATACAATATATCTGTATTTTTTAAAGGATATCAATGTAACAAACACACATCATTCCACCCATGGTGGCATGTTCAGTTGTGCAGGCTGTAACCACATGAATGGCATGAATCAAAGTCAGTACAAGGCAGCCCTGTCCTTACCACTGAGCTTAGGTCACAGAATATTACTGTCCTTTAAGCTCCTCACGTGCCAATCCACTATCCTTACTCCACCACCTTGAGGTAAACACTATTTTGAATGTTATGTCATTTCACCGCATTTTTTCATAATTTTCTAGCAAGTTATATCCTGAAACAATAGTTTTGTCTATTTTTTAAAATTCATTTTGAAAGTAAGCAATCATACTTTAAAGTTTTCTTCAGTGTCTTGTTATTTTTCCCTCAGTCTTACTTTTGAGATTCATCTCTGTTGATGCAAGTAGTTGTAGAGTTCATTCCTATTCATTTTGCTCTACAGTATTAAATCTCACAAAAATCCAACTTATTAATTTATCGTATTGATGTTGGGTGTTTGTATCATTTCTAGTTATGCTATAAAAATTAGACTGCGGGCCAGCCCGGTGGCGCACTGCTATAGTGTGCCGCTTGGGAAGCGCGGCAGCGCTCCCGCTGAGGGTTCGGATCCCACATACAGACCGGTTNACTTATTAATTTATCGTATTGATGTTGGGTGTTTGTATCATTTCTAGTTATGCTATAAAAAATTAGACTGCTATGAATATTCTTACGCCTTTCTGCTGGTGCACTTGTGCAAGAGATTTTTTAGGGAATATAGTCAGGAGTAGAACTTCTGGCTTGTAGGGTATGTGCACTGTCAACTTTGTCAAGGATGCAAGATGGCTTTCCCGAGTGGCTATAGTGATTTACACACTCAACAGTGATGATTATCTTTTTTCAATTTGTGCCAATCTGGTGCGTAGCTAGTGTTATCACATTATTTATCTCTGATTACTAATGAGATAATCATGTTTTTGTTGGTTTATTGGCCACTGATATTTCCTCTTGTGTAAAATATCTTTTTCTGTCTTGGGTTCTGTCTTGTCTGTTTTTCTCTTGGGTTGTTAGTGTTTTTATTTTTAAAATGATTTCTTGGAGTTTTTTGTATATTGTATGCTATTTTCTGCAATTAGAAAATATATTCACCAACAAATATATTTGTAAATACATATTACAAATATCATCAACTTTTTAATTTATCTTTTCACTTTCCTTATGGTGGTTTTTAGTAAAGTAGCATTCTTAATTTAATTTTTGTTG